TAGAAAGAGGGAAATAATAAAAATCAGAGCAAAAATAAATAGAGACTTAAAAAAACAATAGAAAGAATCAACGTAACCAAGAGCTGGTTTTTTGAAAAGACAAACAAAATTGACAAACCTTTAGCTAGACTCACCAATAAAAAAAGAGATGAGGCTCAAATAAGTAAAATCAGAAATGAAAGAGGAGAAATTACATCAGTCACCTCAGAAATACAGAAGATTGTAAGAGAATATTGTGAAAAGCTATATGCCAACAAATTGGATAATCTAGAAGAAATGGATAAATTCTTAGAATCATACAATCTTCCAAAACTGAATCAAGAAAAAATAGAATAGAATAGAAATAGAATAGACCAATCACCACTAAGGAGATCGAAACAGCAATCAAAAACCTCCCCAAAAATTAAAGTCCAGGACCAGGCAGCTTCCCTGGTGAACTCTACCAAACATTCAAAGAAGACTTAATACCTATCCTTCTCAAGCTCTTCCAAAAAATTGAAGAGAAGGGGAAGCTTCCTAACTCATTCTACAAAGCCAACATTATCCTGATACCACAACCAGACAAGGACAATACAAAAAAGGAAAATTACAGGCCAATATCACTGATGAACATTGATGCAAAAATCCTCATCAAAATACTAGCAAATCGAATACAATAATACATTAAAAAGATCATACACCATGATCAACTGGGATTTATTTTAGGAATGCAGGGATGGTTCAACATCCACAAATCAATCAACATGATACACCACATTAATAAAATGAAGAATAAAAATCACATGTTATCTCAATAGATGCAGAGAAAGCATTTGACAAGATACAGCATCCATTTATGAAAAATACTCTGAATAAAATGGATATAGAAATAAAATATCTCAACATAATAAAGGCCATGTATGACAAACCCACAGCTAATATCATTCTCATTGGTGAAAAACTGAAAGCTATTCCTCTAAGAGCAGGAGCCAGATAGGATGCCCACTTTGACCACTCCTATTTAACATAGTATTGGAAGTCCTGGCCAGAGCAATCAGACAAGAAGAGAAATAAAAGGGATCCAAATTGGAAAGGAAGAAGTGAAACTGTCACTATTTGCAGATGACATGATTTTATATATAGAAAATCTTAAAGAATGCACCAAAATACTTTTAGAAATAATCAATGAATATGGTAAAATTGCAGGATACAAAATCAGCATAAAAAATCAGTTTCATTTCTATACACTAGCAATGAAGTGGCAGAAAGACAAATTAAGAATACAATGCCATTTACAATTGCAACAAAAAGAATAAAATACCTAGGAATAAACTTACCCAAAGAGGTGAAAGATCTGTACACTGAAAACTATAAAGCATTGTTGAAAGAAATTGAAGAAGACACAAAGAAGTAGAAAGACAGTCCATGCTCTTGGATTGGAAGAATTAACATAGTGAAAATGTCCACACTTTCTAAAGCAATCTATAGATTCAGTGCAATCCCTATCAAAGTTTCAACAACATTTTTCACATAAATAGGACAAAGAATCCTAAAATTTATATGGAACAACAAAAGACCCCCACTAGCCAAAGGAATCTTCAGAAAAATGAACAAAGCTGGAGGTATCACACTCCCTGATTTCAAAATATACTACAAAGCTATAGTAACCAAAACAGCATGGCACTGGCACAAAAACAGACACATAGATCAAGGGCACAGATACGGGAACCCAGAAATAAACCCACACATCTATGGACAGCTAATTTTCGACAAGGGAGCCAACAATATACAATAGAGAAAGCAAAGTCTCTTCAATAAATGGTGTTGGGAAAACTGGACAGCCACATGCAAAAAAATGAAAGTAGTCCTTTATCTTACACCATACATAAAAATTACCTCAAAATGGATTAAAGACTTGAATGTAAGACCTGAAACCATGAAACTTCTAGAAGAAAGCATAGGCGGTATGCTCTTTGACCTCAGTCTTAGCAACATATTTTCAAGTACTGTGTCTGACTGGGCAAAGGAAACTATAGAAAAAATAAACAAATGGGACTACATTAAACTAAAAAGCTTCTGCACAGCAAAGGAAACCATCAACAAAACGAAAAGACAACCTAACAATTGGGAGAAGACATTTGTAAACCATACATCTGATAAGGGGTTAATCTCCAAATTATATAAAGAACACACACATCTCAACAATAAAAAAACTAACAACCCAATTAAAAAAATGGGAAAAATACCTGAACAGGCATTACTCCAAAGAAGATATACAGATGGCCCATAGGTACATGAAAAGATGTTCAACATCATTCACTATCAGGGAAATGCAAATCAAAACTACAATGAGATATCACCTTACGCCCATCAGAATGGCTATAAATAACAAGACAGGAAATAACAAGTAGTGGAGAGGACGTGGAGTGAAGGGAACACTCATACACTGCCAGTGGGAGTGCAAACTGATGCAGCCACTATGGAAAACAGTATGGAGATTCCTCAAAAAATTAAGGATAGAAATACCATATGATCCAGCTAGTCCACTGCTGGGTATTTATCCAAAGAACATGAAAACATGAATGCATAAAGATACATGCACCCTGTTTTGATTGCAGCATTATTCATAATAGCCAAGACTTGGAAGCAACCTAAGTGCCCATCAAGGAATGAATGGATAAAGAAGATGTGGTATATATACACAGTGGAATACTACTCAGCCATAAGAAACGATGAAATCCAGCCATTTGTTACAATATGGATAGACACTAAGGGTATTATACTAAGTGAAATAAGTCAGAGGGAGAAGGTCAAATACCATATGATCTCAGTCATAATTAGAAGATAAAAACAACAACAAATACACAGAGACAGAGATTGGATTGGTGGTTACCAAAGGGGAAGGGGGGAGGGAGGAGGACAAAAGGGATGATTAGGCACACGTGTGTGGTGATGTATTGTAATTAGTATATGGGTGGTGAACATGATGTACTCTATGCAGAAATAGAAGTATAATGATGTACACCTGAAATCTATACAGTGTTATAAAGCAATGTTTCCTCAATAAAAAAAGGATTAAAAAAATGTTTAAAAAGCACAGATGAAATAAAGGTAATTTCAGTGAACAAAAGATGAAGAGAATTCATCAACAGGCTAAACAGAAATATCAGAAACACAGGCCTACAAGAAAGAATGAAGAACTTTGGAAATGGTAAGTATGTGGAAAAAAATGAAATACTTTTTTCTTTCTTTAATTTCTTTAAACGATTGAACATTTAATTTAAAATAATTTATTCTGTGGTTTATAACACATGGAGAAGTAACATAAGTTACAGTAATATCACAAAGGTGTTAAATGGAATTTTGCTGTTATAAGGCTCTTATATCTGAAGTCGTATAACATTAATTCTAGATTGTAATAAATTGTGATAAATTAGGAACGCTAATTGGAACCACTCGTTAAACCACTAGAGTGAGGTGGGGAAGATAAAGAGATATAGCAGAAAAAACAAATATACGAGATAAAAATAAATGCTGAAAATAACCCACTATTCCAAGAGTAGCAAAGGAGGAACAAAAGAACAAATAATTTATCAAACAAATAGATGGATAATAGCATAGGAGTACTTAACCTACATTCAAAGTTATCAGTACTTTTGATAAACATATCAACTATACATTCTAAGGAAAAGGCGGGAATTATCTGACCCAGTAGAGGAAAAAAAGATCTATCTGTACAGTTTAGCATCAAACTTTAAAATTTAAGACAGATAAGCTCAACATAAAGGAGGGGAAATACTAATCATAGGGTACTATAAAGAATTCTTTGGAGTTTGTTTTTATTTTTATTTTTTTTGCGTGAGACATTTGTATTTGAAAATGTCTTCTGTTGCTATTGGAAGGTAGGCAGCTAAGTGGAGAGAGGAAATTGGGCCATCTAGATTTAATTTTAGAAACCTCATGTGGTTGGCTGTGGCAGCATAATTCCAATGCTTGTGATCCTGGTTTTAGGCCAAATAGTGTTATTCTCCATGTAGCAACAATAATGAAAATATAAATGCCCCAAAGGGCGTTAGCTAGTAAAATAGATTAAATTATATTAAATATATTAATTGGACACGATGTAAACATTACAATTAAATTGAAATAATATATTCCATTAATATATGGGAACACACTATAAAACAGTTTACTAAACAGCATATATAAAAAAGATATATAAATATATACATATATGTATGTATATATTAAAAATAGGAAATGTGTGCATATAAGTTATCTCCTGGTGATAAAATTATGTGTTGTTTTCTTTATTATTTTGTTATTGTTTTTGTAAAAAATTATTTAAAGATCTAAAGATTTCCTTTTATAAACAAAGTCTCACACATTACTACACTCATTGAGAAACTTTATGAAAAAATATCAGTGATAATGGACAAATGAGACTTTTTAACTTGCTACTCATATGGCTTTGCTAAAACTGATGGTATAAACAAAAATTTCTGTGACTAAATGAATGTTCCTATGAATAATTCTTTCCATTTTTAAAATACAGAACTTTCCACCAGAGAACCCAAGCTACTATAAAGCATATAATAATCTTATAAAAGACAAAATTTAATAACAAGGATCTCCAATTGAGTAATAAATGAAATAGCCGGTTTTAAAATGGAAATTGATTTAAGGAAAAGAGTTTCACCACGATTTGGGGTAGATTCAGAAATATCTGCAGCTAGTTATAATCCAATAGATTATAATGTACTAGAATCCTTCCATTATACAATGTTATACATTATTGCTAGAATTCTATACTGATTTGGAAATCAATACCATAAATATTGATTCCCCATGTCAATGTACAGGCAATTGACAACATTTCTTTATATTCTGCTTTACTGAGATCTGTATTTTGAACAGAGTAAAATATATCTGTATTGCAAACAATGGAAGTTTCTTTTTCATATTCCCTTTGACTTTAAACACAAAATAAAGATAGGAAGAAATATAACAATAATGCATACCAAGGCTTTATCCATAATGATTTGTATCTTCAGAATTCTTTTCAATAGCACATCTGAATTTTTCTGGGAAACAGAGGGCATGAATTAAATAAAACATTTTTAAAAATCTTATATTGTTTGTAATTATGTACATTATATATCCATATATAATGTATAATATGTATATCCATATATACACACACACACAGAAGTATAGATAGATAAATAGATAAATAGGTACAAATACAGATGTATAAAGATAGAGATAAACATAATAGGAAAATAAAAGGATGGATGCCACTGAGTAAATAAGCAGGTGAGATTCCAAATAAAAATTTTAGGAACAAATCAGAAGCTTTTATTTTATATTCTTGATAATTAGAATCCTCCAGAAAGTCACTGAAATAAGAGAGAACTCATGTATCCTTTCTCTCAACACCTTCCTCTAGCACACTCTCCCAACCCTCAAGCTAAACAAACTCCCACCAATTTTCCCCCAAACATTGGCTCTATTTTCTCATTGCTGTTGTACTTTTAATTATTTAACTTTACTGTGGCTTACACTCTATAAATGCATCCATTTTAAGAATACAGTCATATGAATTGGTACTAACATGTGCACCCATGTAACCATTTCTGTAAGTAAGACAAAACATATTTCCATCACCTTTTTCCAAGTCAACAGCCCACATGGCTCAAGGCAACCAACAGTCTGCTTTCTCTCACCATAAATTAAAATAATCTATTCTAAAATTTCATATAGATAGAATCACAGGGTATGTGCTCTCTCATATCTGGCTTCGTTCACTCAGCATTTATCTATGTTGTTGTGATTATCAATAATTCATTAGTTTTTACTGCTAAGTAGTGTGCCATTTCAGAAATACATCACAATTTGTTTATACGTTTACTGTTGATGATCACTTGGATTATTTAGACATTTTAGCAATTATAAATAAAGCTCCTATGAATATCCATGTGCAGGTCTTTGTGCATTTATATTCTTTCCTTTTTCTGGTTAAATACTTAGAAATGGAATACCTGAGTCATATGGTAATTGTGGGTGTGTAAAGTAGTACAAAAGTGCCAGATTGCTTTCTAAAGTAGTTTGATCATTCTGCATTTTCACCAAGGATTAATAAGAGTGCCAAGTGCTGCACATTCTTGCCTATACTCGGTATTGTCAGTCTTTTTCTTTGTATCCATTCTTGTCAGTCTGCATTAATATCTCATTGAAGTTCTAGTCTGCAGTTCCCTGATGATTAATGATGTTGAACATCTTTTCACATGCTGATGGCTCATTAATTTCCTTCCTCCTAAGTTTCCTACTAGAAATTTTACATTTTGTCTTGACATTTAAGACTATGCTCTAGTTCAATTTTTTAAATAAGAGCCAAGATTCATTTTCTTCCACATGGAGGATAGCCAGGCTTCTAGCATCATTTGTTGAAGAGATCATTCTTTAACCTTTCAAAGTCCTTAGCATCTTTGTGGAAAATCAATCAGCCAATAGTATGCAGGTTTACTTCTGATCTACTCTGTTCCGTTGTTCTATATGTCTATACTTATAATAATGACACAATATGTATCTCTATAGCAGCGATCAGCAAACCATAACCCAAGGTATGGCCACTTGTTTTGTAAACAATATTTTATTGGAACACACTCACATCATTTATTTGTGTATTGTCTATGCTGCTTTCACTCTGCTTTTGAAGCAGAGTGAAGTAGCTGCAACAGACCACATGCCCCACAAGCCTAACATTTTTACTACCTAGCCCTTCAAGGATAAGTAACGTAAGCCTTCCATCTTGTCCTTCTTTTTAAAGCTGTTTGACTATTCTAGGATATTTGCATCTCTTTACACATTTGAGAACCAATTTCTACAAAATGTTTCCTGGAATTTTAGTTGGGATTACACTAAAGCTACAGATCAATTTGGGGAAAATGAACATTTTAACAATGTCAATTTCTTCCTCTTCTGTGACTTTGCTAGACTCTCTTATTAGTCCTGATAGCTTGGTGGAGATCCTTTAGGATTTTCCATGTACAGAGTTAGATCACTAAAAAAATAGTGTTACTTTTTCCTTTCAAAAACATGTGCCCTTGATTATTACCCTTTTTCTTATTGCACTATCTAGGCACTCGAGTAAAATGTTGACTAGAAGTAGTGAGGGCAAACAGCCTCCCGTCATTCCTAATCTTAGGGGCTGTTTTAGTCAGTTCAGGCTACAAAAAATATATCACAGACTAGGTGGCTTAAACAACAAACATTTATTTCTCACAGTTTGGGACGCTGGGAAGTTCAAGATCAAGGCACCAGCAGATGTGGTGTCTGATGAGAGCACTCTTACTAGTTTGCAGATGGCCATCTTTTCCTTGTACACTCATGGGAAGGAGAGCAGAGAGAGATCTCCTGTCTCTTCCTCTTTTTATAACAGCATTAATCCCATCATGAGGACCCTGCCCTTATGACCTAATCTAACCTAATCTATTTTCCAAAAGCCCTTCCTAATACCATCCTATGCGGGGTTAGGGTTTCAACATACGAATTCGGGGGGTGGGGATGGTCACAAGCATGCAGTCCATATCAGAGACAAAACATTCAGTCATTTACATTCATTATATTAGCTGTAGATGCTAATAGATGCTCTTTGTTAGATCAATGAAATTTTCTATTTCTAGTTTTTATCATGAATGGGTGTTGAATTTTGCCAAATGATATTTCTGGAACTATTGATATGATTCTCTTGTTTTCTACATAAATCCGTTAAATTGTTGGACTTAATGCCTATTTTGCTATACTGATTGAAGTAATATTGCCACCAGGTTTCACAGATACTATAGTCTCAGATTTCTTGAAAAAGTAAGAATGTTTTTATATATAACGGCAACCTGACTGGGTAAAAATTTGTTGGGATATTGCATACAGGCATATCTCATTTTATTGCACTTTGCAGATACTGTGTTTATTACAAGACCCTTCATCAGCAAAAAGATTACTACTTGTTGAAGGCTCACGTGATAGTTAGCATTTTTTAGCAATTAAGTATTTATTAAGGTATGTACACTTTTTTTAGACATAATGCTATTGTACACTTAATAGACTACTGGATAGTTTAAACATAACTTTTATATGCATTGGGAAATCAAAAAATTTGTGTGACTTGCTATATTGTGATATTTGTTTTATTGCAGTGGTCTGGAACCGAACCTACAATGTCTCCGAGGTATGTACCCCCTAGAGAAGCAATTCTCTATACCCCCTCTTAGATAGACATTCTTGACTGTCTTATAAGTATTTCATTTTGGCAAAGGTTAAAGCCAGTTTGAATTTTTCCACCTTTGTGGGTGACTTTCCTTGAGGCCAAGGTGCCTATAGGATTATTCATTATATATTTATAAAGTCCAGTATATTTACCATATTATATCTCAGTGTTGCCAGTTTTTATCAGGGTTTCTTGGGACATTTTGCAAATTCAGCACTCCTTTATTTCAACAAAATTTTATTCTTTAATAACCTGGAATACTTTGTGTGCTATTTTATCAGTGAATGACAATTTTGATTATCTTTAATTTCTATTATCAATCTTTTATACTCTATTAGTCAGGGTTCCCCAGAGATACAGAGTAAATAGGATGTCTGTATGTATGTTTATACATTCATTTTAATTTATTATAACTAGATTTATGATAAGGAATTGGCTTATGATTCTGGAGGGTAGGCCAGTAGGCAGGAGATCCAGGGAGAGCTGATGCTGCTCTTCAGGTCTGGAGGCCTTCAGACTGGAGACCCAGGGAGAGCTGATGCCATAGTTCCAGTCTGAAGGCAGCTGGCTGGAAAAGTCTGTCTTATTCAGGGGAGGGTCGGTCCTTTTGTTCTATTCAGGACATCAATCAATTGCATGAGATCCATTCACGTTATGGAGGACAATCTGCTTTACTCAAAGTCCACTGATGTAAATGTTAAATCTTATTCAAAAACATCTTCACCAAAACACTCATCAAATTTGACCAACTATCTGAGCACTGTGGTCCAGCCAAGCTGACACATAAAATTAACCATCACACATTCTTAGGTGTTCTCTACCTACCATCGTTTTTACATCACTGCTTTCTCTATTTCCTTAAACCTGGCTATAATATTACAAATTGGGGTTTCAGCTCAATGTTTATTCTGTTATTCACTAGTTCTATTATCAGTGTCTTTCATTTTTAAAATAGCTTTATTTTTCTCTTACATTTATTTCCTGAGCACTTCCAGGGATCTTTTAAGCAGACTGTATAGAGGTAGACCATTAGGATACTAAAGAACATATCTCTGGGGTCATATTACCTAGGTTTGAATTTTAATGCAGCAATGTACCAGAAAATTTCCTAGATTAATAATTTAAACTCTCTAAATCTCAGTTTCGTGATCTGAAAAGAGAGATAATGGTACTAACTCTTAGAATTGTTGAAAGAATTAGAAAGACACAATTAGAAAGATGGGATATATGTAAAGCTCTTAGAACAATATATGGCACCTATGAGGCAGTATGTGAATATAAAATAACATCAGTTATTGTTTTTTTACTCACTTTGGATTTTGTATTTTTCTATCTTACTCTTTAGATTTATATTCATTCATATGCCCCGTGTTTACTCCTTTCTGAATATTATTCTTATTTTAGATTACATGCAGTTCTTTCAAGTCCAACCTTTCTTGAAAAAAGGGTGGGAAATAGTGACTTTCATTACACTTTGGGTTACATTATAAGAAATGACCAATTATCCAAGAATGATGTTTACTCCCTCTGCAAAAGAAGAGATGTCAATGAGAGGCACCTGTCCAGGCTCAATTGCATCAAGGTGGAAACATACACACTCTTTTCCCTTTACTCCTGATTAGATTTAGATAATCTAGTGGGAGACTCTTAGGGGCCCTGAGTGAAAGCCAGGAAGGGAAGCAACCAGGAGAGTTTCATCCACCTTGGTCTTTGCCTGAGCAAGACATAACCTTTATGTTAAACCACAGAGAGCTGGAAATTGTTTGCTTTGAAATCAAGTGGTATTTGACCTAATAGTGATTCTCATGAAGAATACAGTTTGAGGAAAGCTGCTTACACAGTTGTTCCATTTTTTGATTTGGTTGAAAGTTCACTCTATTTGGTTGTGATTGTGGTTAGCTGCTATTTTCATTCAGGATGAGAGTAGAGTTTTTTTTCTTTTGTTTGACAATGGTTTGTTTGTTTTATACATTAGGAAGGACGTTTCACATTAGGGAGGAAAGAAATGGTCTCAATAAAAAAATCTCAATTAAGTAGTTCTGGTTGGGTACAGAATTATAGACTGGAAATTACTTCACCTCATTTTAAGTAATTGTAGTATTGCCTTTCAACTTTCACTATTGCTGCTGGAAAATTTCATGCCATTCTGCATCTTCATCACGTATAAGAAATCTGATTTTTTTTATATCAGTCCAGCAACTCATCTTAAGTAATTGAGAATTTTTCTTGGATTGTTTTGTGATTTATGCAACTCAATTTTCTTTGTTTATTTGTACTGGAACTCCTATTAGTATCACCCATATTGTTATTTTAACTTCATTTCTTATCTCTCAAATTTCCCTTTCATTTGTCTTCATTCTTTATCTTTTGTGTGATTTCTGTAATTTTATCTTGTAAACTTTCTATTGAGTTTTTACGTTTTCATTATCAGACTTTTAATTTCCAAGAACTGTTACTTATCCGATGAAAGTTATTTTTTAAATAGCACTCCATTCTTATTTTGCGGATGAAATATTTTCTCTTACCTCTCTGAGGATATAGTCATTTTGTTTTCTTCACCCTCTATATTCGGGTACCTCAAACTTTAAAACTTTGATTTTTTTCATGTCTCCATCTTCCATAGTAAATTGTTTCATCACATAGCTAGTGCCCCTTCATATTAGAAATTGAACATTTAATGGCTTATTCCAACATGTATAACCACATATGGAGTTTATGGGCTGTTGTCTTCACAGAGGGTAATTTGTCTGGGTTGTTGGTTGGGAACATCCTGCTGTCAATATGGTTAGTTTTGATTCTTTGGGCTGGTTTGATTCCATCCTAGAGAAGAGTCTTCCAATACACTTCTTAGAATGTGTAAGCCTGGTTTCCAATATCCAGTGTGCCAAGTTTAACTTAATTACATTAGTTTCGGTATGGTGTTCTTCCCCTAGTGCGAAATGCAATAGAACATCTACCTTCAATTATCTATCAGTCTGTAACAGAGACAATTGATTAGGAGAGGAAATCAGGATTCTAAATATTTACACAACTTATTTTCAACTAATTCTCTTCTTAGGTCCTCCTTTAAAGTCACTCCCTAATGTGTTTGGGCATGCAATTCCAGAAATGTTTCAGTAGCACTGCACTATGTATCGAGTTTCCAACAGGAGATCCCAATTGTCAGTTTAGGATTCAGCTTTTTAGGGGCTAAATCAGCTACTATTCAATTTCCATTGTTCTTACTCCTATCCGGTTCTGTTTGTATGTTTACACCATTTTAAAAATCCCTTTTCACTTTCGTGGGGTTTAAGGAAGGGAAGGAGTAAATGCATGTATCCAATGTGCTTTTAAAAGATAACCCCTTTATTGTAATTTGTTTAGTTTCTGTTCCATTTTTCAACTCTGGTTATAATGGATGTGTTCACCTTGTTTATAAGTTTATTTATGTTTACTTTCAGAAATATAAAAAGGTGCCTACAATATGAGTTTTCACATTACCTTTTTCTGTTCCTTTCTAAAATCTGTTACCTTGAAGATATTCATTTTGTTTATTTGTGCTTATAAAAGCACTAGCGCACGTGAAAACATGCTTAACTAAACCCATAGATTTAAGTCTATCAAATTCAGGATGAAAAGCAATTATCGAGTTTCCCTATATATATAAAATATAACATTCACAAACACGTACCATACCCACTTATCTCCATTCCTGCAGTGACTGCCCTGGTTTTTTCTTAGGTTCTGAAACCTTTGTCTCTATTTTATTTCATTATTGCATTTTGTTTTGTACCCAAACTTTTCATAATTACTTCCATTACCTTACTCCACTACATTAGAAAATGTGCTGAGCAAATACTCATAGTAGTAGTAGCAATGTTATTGATCACTTACATTTTTCCACATACTGTGGTAATTTCCATTTATAAACTTATTTAATCTTTGAAATAATTGTATGAGTTAGGTATTATTTTTATTATTGGCTTTTTACAAGTGAGAACATTTAAACACAGAAAGGTTATGTTATTCACCCAAGTTCTTGTGTCTACAGATGGACAGACTTGGATTTCAGACTGAGGCAGTTGGGACTGTCTATTATCTGTATCTCTTCCAATCCCTCTCTTGTTGCTGATTCACTGGAGGGGGATGGCTTCAAGTGCTGTGTTATTTGTCTTTCTCAAAGCATGTCCACCCCTTCAGCTTCTCCTTCTGCCACAGAAGAGTATTCATGGAATAATTCAAAGTTTTTCAATTTAATTTATGTGATAGTGCTCTATTTCAGTTGTGAAAATTGCCTTCGTGTCCAATGTTGTGTTGCAACATGCAGATGGTTTCTAGAACTGGCATAAAGTTTGTGGTCATATCTTAGTTTCATTAAAAATAAAATTTTAATTTCTATATATGGTCATATTTTACCATTTTTATGAGTTTCTGAAAGGGTAGTTTTATTAATCTATATTTGTACCAACATCTTTGCCAAAATAAATAAAAGTAAATGAAAGCAAGAGTGAGATGGAGTCCATCGTAAATTAAATTCTAGTTTCATTTATTACTATTTTGTTTTGTTTCTCTTTAATATGATATCCAATTTTGATGAGAATATGTGGACAGAGATTCTTTTCTTTGGCCACTGATGATAAAATGTAAAATTGTTCAAAATTTCTTGAGGAGGAACTTAGGATATGTATATATTAAAAAACCTTTGGAAATATGCCTACTCTTACATGTAAGTATTCAGAAGCAAAGTATGATTGCTCAAAAATTGGGTACACGGGGCCGGCCCCGTGGCTTAGCGGTTAAGTGCGCGCGCTCCGCTGCTGGCGGCCCGGGTCCAGATCCCGGGTGCGCACCGAAGCACCGCTTCTCCGGCCATGCTGAGGCCGCGTCCCACATACAGCAACTAGAGGGATGTGCAACTATGACATACAACTGTCTACTGGGGCTTTGGGGGGGAAAATAAATAACTAAATAAAATTAAAAAAAAAAATTTTAACTTGTAGCTATAATTTTAACATATTCAATTTTCTTTTTCAAGCTCT